AAAAAAAAAAAAAAAAAAAAAGGCAAGAAAAACAGCACTCTGTTGACCCACCTACACAGCCCTTTCAGGCCAGCTTCCATAGAGAAATGGTGGGCCAGGGACCGCTGGGGACACACCCATATCAAACAACTAGGGCTTTCTTGATCTGCCACAGGATGCCTGGAAACCCAAGGTAATGTTACAATAAAGGCTCTGGCCAAACAAGCTAATTCTGCCCCCAAATATCGATTCAGGCCATCAGGATGGCTATAAAGCCTTGACCTTCTCCTTTTCTTTTTTTCTCCCCAAATCAGAAGCTCCAAGGGGACTCAAGTCACAGTCTCCAATATAGGAAGTGAATCTACCAGTCACATGATGCTGGGCTGTTCTCATGGGAACGATGAGTCAGAAAGGGATTACTGACAGAGGCTGTTCCTTACTTACTTCTCTCTCCCCATTCTAGAATTTTCTGATTATCCGGAACTAAGGTTCAAGCTACCAATAGAGCAACTTGACCCCTTCAGCCCTGCTGTTTTCCTGTCAGTGCTTTCCTGCTAAGATCAGGCTGACCAGCACCACACAGCCTCTGAACCAGCAAGCATTTCCCAAGCTTTAGCTTGGCCCAGGCTCTCACTGCACTCTTCTGTCTCACCACTTCCTCCATGCTGCTCCAAACAACACAAGCTAAAAACTGCCAGCCAAGGATGTTCTCAAGGTGGATATCTCCCCTTCCTTCCAACCGTGGGCCACCATGAGAGGTCAGAGTAACACAGGGGTGCTCCCAAATGACTCTAGCCCCCTGTTCTGCAGCACTCTCTGTCTCAGCCTTTGGCCAGTCAAGAGACTCCCTGCAAACTGATCCATTGTACCTGAAATCCCACATGGAGGAAGTTCCACATTCCTGAGGGACTTTCTGATTTGGGGAAGGATGATCCTGAACAGCATCAAGACAGCCATTGGACCACCTAAGTTTCAAGGTAAGGGGACATAGAGGCTTTCTGTTAGGAAATCATGTTACATGCCCTTTCTGATTGGTTTTTCAAGACATAGTTTCTCTGTGGCTTTGGAGGCTGTCCTGGAACTAGCTCTTGTAGATCAGGCTGGTCTCGAACTCACAGAGATCCGCCTGCCTCTGCCTCCCAAGTGCTGGGACTAAAGGCGTGCACCACCACCACCCGGCTCTGTTTGTTGAGACAGGGTTTCTCTGAGTAGCCTTGGCTGTCCTGGAACTCACTTCTCAGACCAGGCTGGCTTCTAATTCACAGAGACCCGCCTGCCTCTGCCTCCCAAGTGCTGGGATTAAAGGCCTGTGCCACTACCAACTCAGACTTTTTAAAATTTTTCTCTTTAGGATAAGTTCTTACTGTGTAGCCCTGGCCAGCCTGAAATTCCCTATATAGACCAAGATAGCCTTGAACTCACTTAATTTTTAATATTGACAGGAAGGCCCTCAAAGGAAGTGGGTTGACTCTCCCAAAGCTAACAAGCAGGTGCCTGGTTTCCAGGACTCAGGAGGCTCCACATGTCACAGCATCTATCCAGCCATTTTCTCTTTTCCTTAGGTCCCTTCATGTCTGTATGTCTGTCTCTTCCCTCCTCCCCAGTACTTGTGTGCTGTTTTATTTGCCTTTCTTTCTTCCTTCCTTCCTTTCTTTTTTCAAGACAGAGTTTCTCTGTGTAGCCCTGGCTGTCTTAGAACTTACTCTATAGGCCAGGCTGGCATCAAACTCAGAGATCTGCTAACCTCTGCCTCCCGGAGTGCTGAGGATAAACTCAGGCACCACCATACCCGGTTTTGTTTTTCTTTTCTGTTGTTTCTTTGTTTGTTTTAAGACAGGATCTCACTGTGCAACCCTGGATAGCCTGGAACCTCAAACTTACAAAGATCCACCTGCTACCCTCTTCTAAGTACTGGGACTAAAAGGAGTGTTTCTTTCTAATTTTTTGAAACAGGTTATCACTCTGTAGCCCAGGCTGTCCTAAAATCCACTGTGTAGCTTAAACTGACTTCAATCATCCTGCCTCAGCCTCCCAAGTGTCAGGATTAGAAGAGTATGCTACTGTTGCTTTTGGGTTTGTTTTTCAAGACAAGGTTTCTGTCTGTCCTAGAACTCACTCTGTAGACCAGGCTGGCCTCAAACTCAATGGCCTGCCTGCTTCTGCCTCCTGAGTATGGGATTAAAAGTATGAACCACCACCACCCAGCTTCAATTTTTTTTTTAAAGATTTTATTTATTTATTACCCATACAACATTCTGCTTCCATGTATATCTGCACACCAGAAGAGGGCATCAGATCTCATAACGGATGGTCGTGAGCCACCATGTGGTTGCTGGGAATTGAACTCAGGACCTCTGGAAAGCAGTCAGTGCTCTTAACCTCTGAGCCATCTCTCCAGACCCAGCTTCTATTTTTTAAATTAATTAACTAATTTTATTTTGAGATAGAATCTTGTTGCATACCCAAGCTGGCCTCAAACTCTTCGTTAATTCTTCTGCCACTGGCACCCAGGCATCTTTTATTTCTCAGATTTCTCAAAACCATGTTCAAGTTCACATCTGTCCCTCTCTCCTGGATCTCAGCTGCTTTTATGAAGTACTCAGTACACACTGGAGACAATCTTCTCAGAGACCAATGCACAGCCATCACTCCTGGGGATGATTTGTCTCATCTAAGGAATGCTTCCATAGGCTGGAGAGATGGCTCAGTGGTTAAGAGCATTTGTACCCCATTAGAGGACCTATGCTTGACTCTAAACACTTATACTGGGCAACTGGCAACCACCTGTGACTCCAACCCCCACATATATAACATACACATATAACAAAGAGAAACAGACAGACAGACAGACATGTTTAAAGAATGCTCCAGCTCTGCTAGCCTGCTTTCGTTCCTCATAAGTCCAGTCCATGTGTGAAGCACAGGGGTTTCCTATTGGTCCTACAGGAAAAAGAGATGGCACCAACAACTGGGGTTCAGGCTAGCTTTCATTTCACTGGAAGCTGGGGTGCAGCTGTGGATTCAGAGGAAAGTCAAGAGCAAGCTTGGCCAGGAAGGGAGGAGAGAGGAAGTTCAGAGAAAGGGTGGGACAAGGGAGGTTCCAGGCAGTTTTCTGCTATCCCATAGATAGCTCTGAGTCAGCAGGGCCTATGGACCTTCTGTTGCAACTACTGCTGCCAGCTCCACAGGCACAGGGTTGTCAGACCTAGGAACCATAAAAGGACGGAGGGCGAGCCAAGCCTGTTTGTCATCCTCTGCCCTCCGTAAAAGGAGGTTTCTATGCCTTGGTCTTTCCAGAAGCTAACAAGCATGGCTGGGAACTCGAGATTTCTGGCCTTGCTGGTTTGCTTCAAGCACATTAACCAGAAAGCACTATTCTCAACCTAGTCATGGAAGGCCCACACATGCACACAACAGCTCATTGTCAACCACGTGTCCCACGTAGTGTAGTACAGCAGATGAAGAACTTGCTTTAGTCTCTACTCAAAGCTATCCAGCAAGCCAAGAGCTTGAGACTGGCTGTACTCAGGGACCAGATTTACCACACAAATGCCCTCCTTTAGCAGAAAGAAGCACCACCAGGCACATTTGAACCGAGACTTGGTTATCTCTATATTAGAACATAAATGAAAGCTACACAAACAGTGTGGCCACTCCCAGCCCAACTAAGCCAATGTTCACAAGTACTTATGAACAACTATGGATGAGATGATTTAAAAGAAAAAAAAAAAAGACTTACCTCATCTACAGACACAGGCAGGATGACTCGACTACAAAACAAGAAAAAGAGAGTATCAACTCCAGGCTCTGGAAGCATCACCTCGGCACAGTGCTCATGTGTTGTTGTATACAACCCCCTACTCACTGACAAAAAGCCAGCAGGGAATGGCCCTCTGGATATTTCAAGGCTAGGCCCTTCTGGAATCCCATGTGGAACCCTCTAATTCAGAGCAAACCTGAATTTCCCACTACCTACTTGGCAGACCTCTCACATTTTTCTTGCCTACTCCATCGACCATCTCTCCTCCAAGACTTGCTCATGCATCTAGTAAAACAGAAGCTAATAGCAAAGGCTCATCATGATGAGGATTCAGATTCAAAGAATGTGGCCCTGGTGGTGTGAATCAGTGGGCTCAACTTCCAACATCAGCCCTCAAGGCCAAAGGCTGCGAAGGAGACAATTCCCCAGAGGCTTAATCAACCCTAGAGACTCAAGTGCCCCCACCTCGGCTCTCTGAAGGATGTTATAATGCAAGCTACCTCATGCAGCTCTAGAGGAGACCCAGCTCTGACCTCAGGAAGCTATCCAAAGGCATTCTAACCCATCACTATCTTTCCTCCTGCATTTGACCACCTCCAGTTATTGGAAGGTACCATAAATAAGCTGATAGAGAAATCATGGCGGGCAAAGTCCTCATGAGTGTCAGAATTCCAGAGAACTGAGAAGACTAGAGGCGCTTCCCCAGGTGGCTTGTACTTGTGACAGACCAGTGGCTGACCCCACCCAGTTCAATACTCTAAGGTCAGAGAGATGAGACTATACTCAAAAGTCAAGCCACCCAGAATTGTGGAGATGGAGGCAAATGGTCTCTGTGAGTTTGAGCCCTGCCTGGTCTACATAGTTCCAGACCAGCCAGAGTTTCATGATAAGGCCCTGTTTAAAAACAAACAAACAAACAAAACCGGGTGGTGGTGGTGGTGGTGGTGGTGGTGGTGGTGGTGGTGGTGGTGGTGGTGGTGGTGGTGGTGGTGGTGGTGGTGGTGGTGGTGGTGCACACCTTTCGTCTCAGCACTTGGAAGGCAGAGGCAGGCAGACCTCTGATTCAAGGCCAGCCTGGTCTATAGAGTGAGTTCCAGGATAGCCAAAGATATACAGAGAGACCCTGTCTCCAAAAACAAAACAAAAAAATCCAAGAAAGACAAGTGGAAGCAGGCATGGTGACACACACCTTTAGTCAAACATTCAGGAGGAGGAAGCAAGCAGATCTCCGAGTTTGAGGCTAACCTGGTTTATAGATTGAGTTCCAGGACAGCCAGGGCTACATAGAGAGACCATGTCTCAAGATAAAATAAAATAAATAAAAAATAATCAAGGGCCAAAGCTAAGATTCCCACTTCGCAGAGCCTTGATGGAACCTGCTGGGCCCTCAGCTGCATCTTTGCAGGAGCATGTCCTTCCTAAGCAGAGGCTCAAGCATGGCTCTTTGCTCAGGGCTGAAAAACAAAGTTCTCCTGGGCAGCAAGAAAACACAGAGACCTGAGGAAAACATCACAGTAAAAGCCAGGCATCAAGCAGAAAAAGCAGCAGGCGGGGGGGGGGGGGGGGGGGGGGGGGGGGGGGGGGGGATGATGGGCTCCCAAGTTAGTGCCTGCTAACCCCCTTCCTCCAGAAAGACTTGGGTAATGTAAATCCTCCCATTATAGAAAGCCAACCATGCAAGGAAGTACTTCCAACTTAGAGGGCAGAATTTCTGCACCCTCAGAAAAAACTTCCTAGAAAACAATATGCCTTTTATCTTCAAGAACACAGCAAAAATCACATCCAAGAATTTGCAGAAATCAAACCAGGGAAAATCCTGTTGGAGGAAGTGTCAGAAAAAGCAACAGGGACAACCTTCAGATCCAAACTTCCCCTCAAAAGATACTAGCTCCAGCCAGCGCCTTCAAGGATGCTCTGAGCCTTATCACCGCACAACCAGACATTTCTCCCTTGCCCCCTCAGAACAAAACCACCTCAGCAGCCACAGGGGACAACTGGAAAGGAGAGGGCCACAGAGGCCCAGCTGGGCCAATACTGAAGCCATCCTCACCAAGACATGACCTTCACTTGCATCCTTCTCAGAAGAGCAGCACTGCAACTACAGCCACTCCACCCCACCCCCACCCCCACCTGCCCTATTTCTCCTCCTGTCCCCCACCCAGGGGTGCACAAACAGGACACAAGTCCATCAGGAAGGTAATACAGGTGCCAGGCAGGTTCTGCATCACCAGCACCTTGGGCCTTTCCCTGGACAGGCTTCAAGTGGGGAGAACAAAGAATGGGAAAGGAATGCCTGCCTCCCAAATTTGCTTCATCTCTTCAGAAGGCTCTTCCTTCTCCTGCCTGACCTTTTCAAAACTACACATCGCTACAGGCATTTCTACACATTTCAGATGGGATTCTTTTTTAAACTGAAAGTTGAGACAAGCTCATTCATTTGGACACTGAGGATTAAAATACAAAGAGCACCATGTTTTCCTTGAAGAACACTGGCACCTGGATGTTTGTGTTCTTCTGAGTGCTGGCTGGATTAACACTGGACATTAAGAGGGGCAACAGGGCCTCCAAATACTGCTCTTCGCAAAAGAGTCAAGGTGGGATGACTCCTGGCTCTCTTCTTTGTCATTCAAACTGCACACTATGACATCTTAAACACCCACAAGAAGCAAACTCTGTGGGGATGGACAAAGTGCCTTCACTGACAAGAGGAAAAGAGTCTTCTGTACACTTGCTTGGTCACGAAGAGTTTCACAAGTTTCTCTCTACTTGGACATTTTCCATTTCTGAACCCAATGCTGTTCCCTTGCCCTCTCCTTTGGGGAATCTTAGTCTATACATCGTGTTTGGGATGTTCACTTGGAACCATGATCTTCAGGAATGGGTCACATTGTCTGAAAGGTTTAGCAATCCAAATAACCCTACCAGTCAGCCAAATGCCTGGGTTCCAGAAGCAAACATCTAGCAAGACCCACCTGCCCACGAAATCAACAGCTCCTCACCCCCCAAAACATTTGTGGGGACCTCAATTCCCCCAAGCGATTTCCTCATCTCTTTGAACCAAGACCCCAAATCCACTAGAGACTGGATGTCCTCATCCTGGTACCCATTAACAGGCATATTCATTCTTACACTATCTGTCTGGATGGTTTTGTGCCCTAACTTCCTGCCATCTCTATCGCTGAAACTCCTTCACATTACTTCAGAACCTGCCCGGTATTTTATAGACTCCTCATTCAAGTGTTGCCAAGTCCTAGGCAGGCATCCCGGACTTTTTCCAAAAGCCTCCGCTTTTGCACCTGATAGTTAGGTACCATGCCACTCCAGCCGTCCCCACCCAGCCCTGTTATCTTAGTCCGCTATGCTCTTTCTCCCTTCCCCATCGCCCAAGCCTGGCCCTGACTTAAGTCTTTTTTTTTTTTTTTAACCCTGCAACCAATTATTACAATCCTTCCTCTGCTGCCTAAGGCAGCCACTGTCCATGCCCCAGGTTCCGCCTCAGCACTCCTCCCCACCACCTCAACTCCATTCCAAGAGCTATCTTATCTGATCTTCCCTGCCCCTTGGTACATACAGCCCAGCCTCAAACCCCTCCCCACCGTCAGCCAACTCACCGGCGCTGTCTGCCCTTGTCCCACTGCTCCTTGGTCCCTTACACAACTCCTCAGTCTGCCCCTTCAATCACCCAGCGCCCACTATAGGGCCACACCACATGCAGCGCTCGCCATTCCTCGGACCCCTCCTCATGCCCCCTCTGGCTCTCCCTGTCCCCTTGACCTCTCTTCAGGCCCTGTCCGGCTCGCACCAGTTCCCGGCCTCTTCTCTGGCCTATTCGACCCCACCTCAGGTGCTGTCTGTCACCCGCTGGCCCCTCCGCCCCTGCCAGGCAGTCCAACAGCCCCATCCGGTGTTCTCCATCCCCCGGCAGGCGATCTGCCTTCGCGTCCGTCATCCCGACCCTCCCTTCCGCCTCGCTTCCGCACAGCCGATCCGACACTCACTACTCCTTGAGCAGCACCATGTCGCTTCGCGGCTCGGCGGCTGCCAGCTGCCAGCCCGGCCTTCCGCCCGCTTCCCGGCGGCCGCTCTCCCGGTGGCCCGGCCCGGCCCGGCTGCCTGTGCGCCTTCGTCGTGGTCTGCTCTGTCTCTGCTGCTCTCGCTGCGGTCGCCGCGCGGGCTCCTGCCGCCCTGCCCTGGCTTCGCCACCTCCCGCGCCTCTGCCGACGCCGCCCGGAGCTCCGGTTCCGCAGCGCCGCGCGGGGGCGGGGCGTCTCTGCGGCAACCAAAGCGTCAGACGCAGCAGTGCGCGCTGACCTCACGCGGGGCGGAGTCTTCCCGGGCCCGCCCCTCTACCCTTAAATGGACTGTGGCTCCGGGTCTATGTCAGCGTCCGAGTTGGGGCCCAGGCAGTTTAAAACTCAGGATTTAAAAGGACACTTCTGGTGTAAACGCTCTTCTGCAGCAGAAACTGATGCGCCTATATGCCTGGACTTCGCTGGTAGGTGTGTTGAGAGCCAAGCGCATCAAAAATAAAATGAAGGGCTTGGAGATTAGTTCAGCCATGAAGCACTTGCCTAATTTAGATGCATTAAAAAAAAAAATCCTAAAACAAAAGTGTTTATATATGTTCTCTAAATACTGAACTACACAACTCCACCAGAAAGGCAGAAAGGTACTGTTAGTGTCCTCATTTACAGGTAAGAAGGCAAAGTAAGATTTGCTTATCACAGCTTCTCCATGACTTTTTGTCTTCTCGATCTGTAGACCAGGCTGGGCTCGAACTCACAGGATCTACCTGCCTCTGGCTCCTGAGTGCTGGGTGTAGCCGAATGTCTCCTCATCCATCCAATAAACATTGGCTGAGGGTTTGGTATGCCCCAGAGCTTGTGCTATCCTGGATAAAGAGAACAAGACTGGTACTTTTGCCCTTAGGGGCTGGAGATCAAATGGAGGGGAGGCAGGTGATGGTTGAAGGTATCAGGCGTTTAGAATGAAAGAGACTGCCAGGCCTGTAATCGTAGCTATCTGTGAGCTGAGGCAGGAGAGTGGAAAGTTCAAAGCCACTGTCTCATGAAAGGTAAAGAGAGGGCTGAGATAAACAGTTCAGTGGACGAGCACTTGCCTAGTATGCAGGAGGCCCTATGTTCAATCCCAGAACCACAAGAAGGAAAAGGCAACAAGAAATCAGGTTAAAGTTGTGCTTGATGGGATTACACAGGAGGGCACCTGATGTGTGGGAGGAATCCAGGGAAGGCATTCCAGAAGACAAGATTTAAGGGTAGGTCTGCCTGATGCTGGGGAGGGAAGAGCAACAAATACAAGGAGTAACAGATATGTAAAGGTTGCAGTCAAGAAGGAGGAGAGGATGCATTTGGGGACTTGTCCTAGTTTTTTTTTGTTGTTGTTGTTTTTGTTTTTGTTTTCTGCAATAAAGACCACAACCAAAAGTAACCTGGGGAGGAAAAGGTTTATTACATCTTTGAGTTCATTATTAAGGGAAAACAGGGCAGGGACCGAAAACAGAGGCCACGGAGGAATGCTGCTTACTGGTTTGCTCAGCCTACTTTCTTGTGCAACCCAGGACCACCTGCCCAGGGGTGGTAATGCCCAGGGTGAGCTGTGCTCTCCCACATCAATCTAGACAATGCCCCCGCAGACTTGCCTACAGACAAATCGTAACAGATGACCCTAGCTTGTGTCAGGCTGACAAAAAACAAAGCAAACCTGACCAGCTCATGACTGGAAGAGATAACTGGAGCATTGAGTTTGGAGGCTGGAAAGCTGGAAAGGTTCCTGGCGGGTGATGGTAATGTGGGCTACAGGCTATGGAAGGGCACTGGAGGTTTCCCCGCGGTGATAGGAGATTATGGTATGATGTTTCCCTCTTCATGAATGTTGGGGCAGGGAGGGAAGAGGAGAGGGGTGTATCACAGCAACAGTGAAAGGCAGGGACACCAGTGAGGAGGCAGCCGCAGAAGTCCAGGAAGCATTCAGGGCAGGCAAAAAATAAAAAACAGGTGGTGGCGTATGCCTTTAATCCCAGCACTCAGGAGGGCAGAGGCTGGTGGATCTCTGTGAGTTTGAGGCCAGCCTAGACTCCAGAGCGAGTTCCAGGACAGGCTCTAAAGCTACAGAGAAACCCTGTCTCAGGAAAGAAAAAAAAAGGGGGGGGGGCTTGTTGGCTACAGAGGGAAAGCAAGGGAGGAAGTGAGAAAAACTGATAAGGTTTGGGGCTGGGGAGCCTGAGTGACTAGTACTGCACTCTGAGAGCACTGAAACGGAGTGGCAGACAGGTGGGACTCACTAAGAGCTAGTTCTTGAAGGATATCTGGATGCAATACTAAGTGAATTACCCAAAAGTACCATACTGCTACCCAGCTGTGACCAGGGCTGCCCTGAGTGTTCCTTGTGTTGGCCTTTCATTCATCAAACTCTAGTATGAGCAAAACGATAGCTCCAGAAATCCAAGGCAAGCACCCTGAGAGAAAGCCAAGATCGAGGAAATGGCCTGGCCCCTGGCCCCCCAGTCTTGCAGCACAAAGTTCTTTCTCCTCCATGGTATCAATGGATAGTTCTCTAGAAAATGCTGGCTCTCTCCAGGAAGTAATCAGATCCTGTGCCCCTTGGGAACGTGCAGTCTAGTTAGGGAGACTACATTTACTCATCCACTCAATAAATATTGATTGAGCACCTGGCCCTGTCCTAGGTCTTTTTCTAGGCACTTAAGACACAAGGGATGATCAAGCAAACAAGATCCCTCCCGGGAAGCAGAAAACAAACACACAGAAGTGGTTTTCGAAGAGACCAGTGTGAACTGGGTGATTGGCCTTGGGGGCCGTCTTAAAGGTGATATTTAGACAGAGGAATTGCTGCTAATTGACAAAGGCTAAAACATGAGACTGAAGGGCAGTTCTGCACACTAGGGGAACTGAAAACACAAAACAGCATCAAGGCTGGAGACATAGGTCAACTGGAAGAATGCTTGCCTGGCACTCACAAAGTCCTAAGTTCTACCCGGGCATTGGTGGCGCATGTCTTTGATCCCAGCACTCAGGAGGCAGAGGCAGGGGATCTCTGTGAGTTCGAGGCCAGCCTGGTCTCCAGAGCGAGTTCCAGGATAGGCTCCAAAGCTACACAGAGAAACCCTGTCTCGAAAAACAAAAAACAAAACAAACAAACAAAAGTCCTGAGTTCAGCCCCCAGTATCACATAAACCAGTTCTGGAAGCTCATTCCTGTAATCCCAACACTTCTGAGGTAGAGACAGGAAGTTTAAGATCATCCTTACCTTCATTCAGTTTGAAGCTAGCCTGGGCTACACAAGACTCTACCCCTGCCCCCCAAAAAGAAAAAGAAACAAAGGGCTAGAGATAGGGCTTAGCTCGGTTAAGAGTGCTTGCCACTCTTCCAGAAGAGTGGAGTACCTATGTTAGCACCCATGTCAGTCATGCAGATAGTAATCACTTGTAACTGCAGCCTCCTGGGGATCTGATGCCTCTGGCCACCTCCTGCCTCTGCACCCATATGCACATAGCCACACACAGATACAGACACATACACTTTTTTTTTTTTTTTTTTTTTTTTTTTTTTTTGTTTTTTAAAAAAGGGTTTTTTTTTTTTGTTTTTTTTTTTTTTTTTGTTTGTTTTTTCAAGGCAGGGTTTCTCTGTGTAGCTTTGGAGCCTAGCCTGGTACTCGCTCTGAAGACCAGGCTGGCCTCGTACTCACAGAGATCCTCCTGCCTCTGCCTCACGAGTGCTTGGATTAAAGGCGTGTGCCACCAACGCCCGGCTACACATAATATTTTAAAATTTAAAAAAATCGGGGGGCTGGAGAGATGGCTCAGAGGTTAGAAGCACTGGCTAGTCATCCAGAGGTCCTGAGTTCAATTCTCAGCAACCACATGTAGGCTCACAACCATCTATAATGAGATCGCATACCCTTTTCTGGCATGCATGCCAGAACACTGTATTCATAATAAATAAAATCTTTAAAAAAAAAAATCAGGGGACTGGAAAGATGACTCAGAGGTTAAGGCTGTTCTTTCAAAGGTCCTGAGTTCAATTCCCAGCAACCATGTGGTGGCTCACAACCATCTATAATGAGATCTGGTTCCTCTTCTGGAGTGCAGGGATACATGCAGACAGAGCACTGCATACATAATATATAAATTTAAATAATTTTTAAAAATCATGGAAAAAAAAGTAGGCAGTTATGGCACACACTTTTAATCCCAGCACTACCAGAGGCAGAGGCAGGCAGATCTCTGTGAGTTTGAGACCATCATGGTCTACAGAGATAGATCAAGACTGTTGCACAGAGAAAACCTGTCTCAAAACACAGAAAAACAAAAAAGCAAAAAACAAGCCAGGAAGTTCCAGGCAGTAGTGGCATTTAATTCCAGAACTCAGGAGGCAGAGACAGGTAGATCTCTAAATTCAAGGCCAGCCTGGTCTACAGAGAGAGTTTCAGGATAGCAAGAACTGCACAGAAAAACCCTGTCTCAAAAAAAAAAAAAAAAAAAAAAAATCTGAGGAAACAGCTTGAGCTGGGGAAGACTAGGAAGGAAGGCCCCTGCCCAGGAAAAGCCTTGGAGACCCAGGTGCAGGGCAGGGCTGGCCTCCAAAGTAGGGGAGAAGCACATGCTGCTTGCAGTGACTGGAAAATGAGGTAGCCTATAGACAGGGCTGAGCTTGGGACTTTGAGTTCTGATTAAGAGGTTCCCTCTGGTAAGGTAGCAATTAGGGGCCCTTAAGAAAGTCCTAACTTCCTGTTGAGATTCAGCTTGGGAGGCTTGCCACTGGGCTTGCCTCTTTCCTTTCTCCAAGCATTTCAAAGTCCTCCGGCTAGGTTATCCCACCCACCATGTTTCCAGATGTCTACTAGGAATGCTGATTCTGTCTTAGGAATCGAGTGTTGTTATCACACTTAGAGGGATAGACAGATGAATCATTTCCTCTCCCTCCTTCCCTCTCTCCCTCCTTCCCTCCCTCCCTCCCTCCTTCCGTCCCTCCCTTCCTCTCCCTCCCTTTCCCTCCCTCGCACTTTCCCTAAGATTTATTTTTTATTTATGTACATTGAGATTTTGCCTGCATGTGTGACTGTGTGAGTGTGCCAGATCCCCTGGAACTGGAGTTATAGACAGTTTTGAGGAGCCATGAGGTTACTGGGAATTGAACCAAGGTCCTCTAGAAGAGCAGCCAGTGCTCTCAGTCACCAGTGCTCTTAGCCATCTCTCCAGTCCCAGTCTTTTATTATAATTATTATTATTAAAAGCTTTGCATTATAGGGGCCAGCCCAATGGCTCAGTGAGTTAAGGTACTTGTGGCCAAGACTGACAACTGAATTCTCCAAGTTGTCCTCTGAATTCCACACATGTGCTATATAGCACATATGCACCAAAAGTTTGTGTGTGTACATGTGTCACAGTGTGTGAGTGGAGGTCAGAGGACAACTTGTAAAGCTCTCTCCTCCCTTATATGGGTCCCTTGGATCAAACTAAGGCTGTCGGGCTTAGCAGCAAGCCATTAAATCCATAGAGTCAGCTCACCAGTTTTTTTGTTGTTTGATTTTTGTTTTTTTTGGTTTGGTTTGGTTTTGGTTTTTCAGAGACA